AAGACTTGGATTCCTATCTCAAAACCCGGTCTCCAGTCACTTTTTTGTCTGACTTGCGCAGCAACCTACAAGTGAGTGGCTGGTTTCTGAGGATGCTGGATTTAAATAGTGTGGGACAAATGATCTCGTTGGCTGAGTCACCCTCCTTTCTTGCAGGAATTTTGTTGGTGTGTAGCAAGCATGTGTTCCAGGCAGTAAAAAAGTGTCTTAAAACGCACACTTCTCTGAATATTTCCTCTCCCACTCCCTAGCAGGATGTTTAAGTCTGTGTTAAGTAGTTTCAGCCAGGTGGAATTTAAGGAAAGAGGAATGTTGACTTTAACAACCCTAAAATGATCTAATTTAAAAGCAGTTGGTTTTATCTACATGAGCTGCCAAGTGCTCGTGTGAGTGAAAATGTAAGGTTATCTAAAACTTTGACTCTTCTGCTTGCACGTCTCTAGTGCACAACCTTGCAAATCTTTAGTGAAGAATGTAGTCAGAGCTGATTGCACCAAGCTTCCTTTTTTTTTTGTCCTCAACCATTGGGTGATGAAGAGTCTTGTGGCTTCCATCACACAACTCCAGCACTGTTTATCTAGGCATTGTCTGAGATTCAACAGGTTTTATTGAACCTGACTGCATTTTCTTAGAATCTGATGAAATTTTGGCTCCGAATGGATCCATGTTACTAGTTATTGAAATCTATGGATCTGGATGCTCAAGCCTTGGGGGCGGGGGGGGGGGGGGGTTTTTTTCAAATTAGCTAAAGCCCAGTTCAGAATTGTTAGCCAACTGCCTGTGTTCAACACACCACATGGTTTGGCTTGCAACAGACTTCAGGAATGGAGTTGGACTTTCTCAGAAAATTGCTCAGACTGAAGCATTCACGCAGGTGGTGTGCATTTCAGCCCGCCTCTGGCACTGCTGGTGAATTCAGATTGCCTTTACCTGATTTTTTTTCTTTTAGGTAGGGAGTATAAAAATTGTCTGGGTCTGTCAACATTTTGCTGATGCTCTTGAATATATATAACTACTATATTACAAAAGGGTAAATGCCAAACTGAATTTGTGGATGTCTGTGTTGTCTTCTGTATAATCAAGAAGATAGTTGGGTGCTGTTATTGTACATGCTGTACCTTTGATTGCTGAAGGAATATGGAATGTTAATGCTTTTCATATCTTCGCTATTAGGTATCAAATGAACCTGGCAACCGCTACAACATCCAGCTGATTAATGCACTGGTGCTCTACGTAGGTACTCAAGCTATTGCGCACATTCACAACAAAGGCAGCACACCCTCTATGAGCACCATTACCCACTCAGCTCACATGGACATCTTCCAGAACTTGGCAGTAGACCTGGACACTGAAGGTGAGCTGGAAACGCTTCCAGTTCATGCGATGTCAAATTTAACAGCAGATTGTCTGTTTGAGCTGTGAGAAATACAGATGATCATTTCATGTAGTTGCTAGTGAATTCATGGTAAGTAATGCTGCGTTAGAATATTAAATTCTGAATACAGGAGCAATATTAAAACCAAATGTTCAAGGTATTCAGGGGAATGAGAAGTAAGTTTAATGAAGAGGAATTGAATTCTTGCTGCCCCATCAGCTTGGATTGATAAGGCTTTTTATATCTCCAGTTGTTTTTGTTTCTTCTTGTACCTTCGTAAGGCAGGCGCACAACCCTTAACCTTAAGCAATACTAGTTGCTGCTTTATTCCTTTTTGTGTTTGTGGAAGGAAAACCGTATGTACTCACTGGTCCTCTTCTGCAGGCCGGTACCTTTTCTTGAATGCAATTGCCAATCAGCTGCGATACCCCAACAGTCACACCCACTACTTCAGTTGCACCATGCTGTACCTGTTTGCAGAGGCCAACACTGAGGCTATCCAGGAGCAGATCACTAGGTGAGAGGGAAGGCATTTAACTTGCCGGCATTCAGCCCTTCACTTTCCTTCCCTGGGTATTTTGGATCTTTGAGCTCTAACTGTTTTTAATTTCGGATTTCAGGGTTCTCTTGGAACGACTGATTGTAAATAGGCCTCATCCCTGGGGTCTCCTTATTACCTTCATTGAGCTGATAAAAAACCCAGCGTTTAAGTTCTGGAACCATGAGTTTGTTCACTGCGCTCCAGAAATTGAGAAGTGAGTATAACTGATCCATAAAATCGCTAAAACAATCTATCTGAAGCAGGGGCTGAGATGCACCTCGAGTTTTTTGGTGCTTCACAGCGGAAGTGCCATTTGCTGCCATAAACGCACCTAACGCTGCGTTGCTTCTTGTCTTCAGGTTGTTCCAGTCAGTTGCACAGTGCTGCATGGGGCAGAAGCAGGCCCAGCAAGTAATGGAAGGGACTGGTGCCAGTTAGGTGAGCTGCATCTTGTGTCGTAAGCGTGCCAGCCTGGAGGTCCCTGTCCCATCGACTGACGGAAGACTCTGTAAGGCTCCTCCTGACCTTCCCAGCCTGCTTGATTGGGTAGACGCAACAGACCCTGGGTGACGGTCTATGTGGGCACGTTCCAAAGTTTGAAACAAATTTTTGACTTTTGGCCAAAATTCAGAAGATGCTGTGAATATCATTTTGAACTAGTGTAAATACAAGGAACAGAAACGTTTGTCTGGACTTTTGGGTTTGTGCAAATTGTGTAAAAGGCAGGTGGGTAACTGGTGCCTGTCCAGCTTGTAATAAAGGGGCAGCTGCTGATGCCAAGCACTTGTCTGGGGCAGACCTCCTTGTCCTGACATTCCCAGACTCCCAAAGAATATTGAAAAGCCAGTAATATTATGTAACTTATTTTTCTTTATGTGGATGGGGGACCTTCAAATCACTAAGTTGTTTTACAAAAAAAAAGGTGGATGTGTTTGGAATATGGGAATACTATGGAGTAGGGGGGGGTGAGGGCGGGGTTAAGGTTCTGGGTTGCTTTCCCCCACCCTCATCAAATGCTGACAGACAGCAAGTGGAGTGGCATTCAGAGAATGCCTCCTTTCTGTTGGAGAAGACACACCTCAGGCCCTTTGGGAGAGGGTCAGCTGTTTTTAGTAAAGAAACCAGAGACCAGGCCTATAGCTTTTTTTTTTTTTGACACTTGTAAATTTTGGAAGGGGAGGGGGTTTAAATCTAGACCTTTTCCCGCCTCCCACCCTGTGACCACACAGCATAAGTAAGTTTGTAAAAAAACCAAAAAAAAACAAAAAAACAAAAAAAAAAACCCAAAAAAAACCCAAAAGGAAAAAAAAACCCAAAGGACCAATACAGCCCATTTTGTAAGGATTTTGAATGTTTTGTAAAGTATTGGTCCATGTGTTGTATTTTGTAGCCTTTCTAGTTCTTGGGCTTTAGTTCTCCCACTTCTTGTATGTATGCATACTGTAGTTACACATTAAAGTCATGACATGCAGCACGTGCCACTGTGCTTATTCTCTCCAGTTCCATCCTACCTGGCCAGTTGATGTCTTTCCAAGTCTGTTTCACCCCTCCAAAATCTGCAGTTTTCCAGTGTGTTTTGGCCACTGCCTATTGAGAGCAACTGAGCTTGTTTTTAAGCTTGAGGTCAGAGGGGAGAATTGTTACGGGCCTCGCTTTGAAGTGCAAAAGGAAAGGACAGTCGTGTGGAGATAGAAATACCTTAGTTACAAGTTCACGAGGAGAATTTCTGTCTGGCGAAGTTGTGCTGGAAAGGAGACTGCTTGCAGTGGAGGGGTGCAGAGCATAGACAGCAGACCAGCTGCGTTTCTCATGGCTTGTGCCCTGCTACGATAGTTCCCTTCAGCAAGGATCTGTGCAAGGTTGCTAGTTAGCTGTAATAAGGATAGGTGGCTTCAGTGTTGCTAATACTGCAAACTCCTTTAGCCTATGCCTTGCAACCTAGCAGATACTAGGAAATAGAGCTTCACTGCTCTGTAACATTACTAGTTTGTTAAGGCTAATTGACTGCTCTTGTATGGATGGAGAGGTCAGGATTTCCTGCTTAGGTTTAAGGGATTGCATACCTGGCTGTGCTTTTGCTGCACAGAGCAAAAACTAGATCCAGGGGACCACTGAGCCAACTGTGCCAGTGGACTGCAGCTCAAGGGGAATTCTCTTATCTGTGACCTGTTTCTAGGCAGTGGTTTTTTTCAGTTGCCTGTGTGTAAAGGAGTACTTTCTTGCCAGATCCTACAATTCCCTGGCATTTGTTTGGCAGGTCAGCAGTTGTGCTGAAATTGAGCCTCTTGAAGTTGGAATTTTTTTTTGTTTCTGGTGTTGCAACTCCAGTTTACTCTTCCTCCTGTATTGGGTTAGGATGTGGAGAATTATCAGCAACCAGTTTTTCTTTATCTAGTCCAGATGCCGTGGGTTTTTTTTCTGCTGTTTAACTCTAGGAAACCTTATGCAGAGCTTCTTGTCCTAATGACTCAAAGCTCAAAGGTCTCTCTGGTTCTGTACTAATGCTGCTGTACATGGCGGGTTCCCTGCAGGCTTTAAGAACCGTTAGGCTGGTGTAAAGAGGGAGTGGAAGGTGGACAGGACTCAGCCAAGATCCCAGCAACACAAGTTGCGCTGGTAGGATGGTGGGTGGCTACTGCACTTCGTATCCTCTCTTAGCAGGTAAGGAACCTGCAGCTGGTACTGTCAAAGTAAATAGTGCTGGTGTCAGCTCCCCAAGGATGAGCAGTGTCCTTGCCAGCAGGGGCCCTGGGTATAATACACTTCATGTTTAAGCAATGAAGACTAACCTTTTGATCCACTGTGTGCCTAGTTTGAAATCTAGTCTGCTGTAGGAAGAGAAGAGCCAAGATGGCAGACTGGACTCTAAACAGCTGCTGCATTACGCCACTGTAAAAGGGGAATTTTTAAAAGCTACTGTTAAACCACCCTGGCCCCCAGCGGTGCAGGTGGGGCTGTAGCTGACTTTTATCTACACGAGTACATGGGGTTTGCTTGTTCGCAGCATTTCTAACTGCAGCAGCAGCAAAGATCACCCCCCTTTTAGATGGGGCTTTGCACCCTGTTGAAGTAGACAGCGTTGGCTGGATAAGAAACATCATCTTTATTAAATATAGCTTGGCCTGCAAACCTCCAGTGTTCTGTCATGCAGAAACTGCTGAGGGAAATATTAATATAGCTAACTGTGATGCTGAGCAGTGCCTGAGTTCAGGAAGAACTTTATCAACCGGAGGGTGTGTATCGAACGCTTAGCCTACAGCAGCTGCAGAACTGCTCCTGTATAGGGTAGTCGCAAGCCCATACAGAAATGCCTTTTATAAAGGTAAAAGGAAATATCTTGCTATACTGAGCCTACATGAAAACCAGACAGGTGGGCTTGTACTCTTTAAAATGCTCAGTATCAACAAAGCATAGGTGAAGAGTTTAGTTTGTCAGCGTCTCCACCTGCCAGATACTTACTCTGAACCTCTGTAAGGTAAGAGCTACCAGCTGGATCTCTGCCCTCTGCATCTGGACAAGGAGCAGTTCTTGCCTTAAATTTCTGATGCTAAATGAGGGAACCCATTTCTTGTTCTGACAGGGTATGTCTGCCTTCCTAAAGCAGCCATGAGGAGATCTGGGTGTTCTTAAGTCCTCTAGAAGAAGGTGGTAGTTGTGCTCCAGAGCTCTCGCTGTAAGGTAAAGCCACCCAAAACCACTTCTGTGCTGTGGAAGGTATTTTTGTTTATGCAGAGGTAGCTAAAAAGCCATGTGCCGTGTGAGGGACAAGTGGGCCCGTATTCAATCTTGCCATCTGTTCTCGCTGCTGTAGAAGAGACGGCCAAAGGCTGACCCTTCCCCTCCTGAGCACAGTTCCAGGCAGTTCACTTCCAGCAGCAGCGAGGTTTCTAGTGTACCAGCTCTAGCAGCTGATGCAAGATCCTTTTCTGTCCATAGCGCACATGCAAAGCTTGCTGCTCCCTTCGACTCAGTTTCTCATAAGCCTCCTTGTTATTTAGCAAGTCCTGCTCCGCTTTCAAGTCTGACCTGTAAGACTCCAGGGTCAGCAGCACACTGTCATAAAGGAGCTTCTTGCAAGGGGTTTTAAGTCTGGAGAGAGCCTCATTAGAAAGGGTAGAGTTTTCCTCTTCCTCACTGTCGTCTTCCCAGCCATCTTGTTCCTTATACTCCTTGAATTCTTCTTCTGACATGCACAGCACCTGTAATGACCCAGGCAAAGAGACAAGTCACTGGCAGTGCAAGTACATCAGGCTTTCTTCTCTGAGTGGTCTTAAAGCCACACGGAGCAGGTGAGCTACTCCTCAGCTGTGCAAAAGGTGAGAGAGTAAAACTGGCTTAGATACCTAATCACAAGTAACTTGTGGGTTAGAAGAACATTCAGAGAGCAAACCTGGGTGTTGGGAACAGTCTTAAAGGACATCTCACTGCTACCTACAAAGGTGCAAAGCTCTCTAGAACAGCAGTAGCCCGGGAGCCATTCAAGACCAGTTCGTAAGTACACGTGGATGGTTAGTTCAGGAGAGGAAGACGACAGTACCTGAAGCCTGGGGAGATGGGCAGCCACATCCTCTACCAGTTTTCACACAGGAGTGTTACTACCAAAATGCCATTACAGGCTCCCCCCCCGCCCCATCGAACCATTTTGCATGCTGGTTTGCACAGCTGCAGTACGCTTAGTCTGTGCTCTTCCTTGTGTAGCTCTTCCACCACTCGGCAGTGCTTACCTTCAGGGTCGTGGACAGCTCTTCCTCTGTCAGCACCTCATCCCAGCCAAGCACAAAGGCGCCTTCCTCCCCCACCATCTCCAGCTGGCACAAGAAGTCCCACTGCTCTGAGACCAGCCGCTGCTGTGCTTCGCTTTTGGCACCTGTTTCGAAGACAGCAGAGCTGCAAAACCCACCCCGGGTTGGGGGGGGGGGGGTGTGAATGGAGAAGAGGAAACGGGAGGCAGAAAACCAAGGCATAACCCCAGCACCTGAAATGCCGTGGAACCCGCTTATTTTTTCAAGTCGCCCTCCATCCCCGTTTCATTACATCGCTATTTAAGAGAGATCCCTGCCCCACCCTTTCCCAAAGCGGCTACGGGTGCCACTCACGCTGCAGTGCCGCCTTGCGTACTGTCACCATCTGGATGTCGGCTGTGTCGTTGGTGTTGCTAGGGTACGGCTCCGCGAAGCCGTACATGTGTAGGAGCTGCCAGTTGGCCATCTGCCCGTATGTGTTGAAGATCTCTTGTCCTTTGCCGACGGGCTGTGTTGTAACCATTCGTAAACATTGCTGCAAGCAGGGAGGAGAAAGAGGCTCTCAGAGCTGCGGTGATCCTACCGCTCGGAAACAAGGTGTTTCAAAGAGGCTCGGATGACCCTGAGCTCTTCCTAGCTAAAACCAGGCATGCAGCAGGGGAGTACGTTGAGCAAAATAGCTTCGTATTAATGAGACCCAGGCCAGACTCGCTTGTCCTGGCAGGTGAGCAGCGCCGCTCTGCCTTCAGAGCGCCAGCCTTGCTGCGCCACTGCTCCCAGAGGCCTTGCAGCAAAGAGGAACCAGACCCTGATGCCTGGCAGAGCAGCTCTGCACTCACGGGAGAGTATTCCAGGTTGGCGTTGTGGTTGGCCACGTGATTCAAAATATCTGCTACAGGCACCATCATCGGAGGATTGGGCCCCTTCTCATCTTCATCTTCCTCCTCCAGAGGCTCCTGAAAGCTAAGACAAGGGAGATGAAGACAAGCCCGTTTTAACACCTTGCAGCACAGGGCAAGCTTCACCTTATACTTGAGTTCTTGTGCAACTGCAACCTTTTAAGTAACGGCCTACACTCTCTCCTGTGGTCCTACTCCTTGCCCTTGCTCCTTGTTGGAGCAAAGCCCTCGCTTCTCACCTGTAGGCCATGACAAATGCCACCAGCTGCTTGTACAACTCCAGCGTGTGCAGCTTGGGGTCAAAGACGTTGGGGTGGGACTCCATGAACGGCAGGATGATGGAGGTGTACTCCAGGTGGATGTTAGCAAGGTCCTTGTCCACTGCTTCTGGGATGCCTGTGCCCTGCAGGAGCCTTCTCCGCTCTTCTTCAGGCCTGTTGCAAGAAAAAACAGCGGGTTTATCTCCACCTGCCCCAGGGAGAAGGATCTATAAACTGCTTTCTCCTTCAAAATCTCAGCTTCCTGGTGCTCTCCAGATTCCTGTTTTCTGGCTATGCCTGTAGCTGGCTCCGACCCCAGGTAGGGGGGACCCCTCGGCTACTGCCACTGACAGCGCAGGGCTAGAACAGAGGGATGGAGTCATGCGGTAGGACCACATCCAACCCCAAGACTCCTGGTCAGCAGCCCCCGCCGCCTTCGGCTGTCACACTGGGCCACCCCACAGCCCCGCTTGGGTTTCGCCTTACCAGAACATGGGGTGATCCAGGCTCCTGAAGTCCTCCCAGAGGGAGAAATAAGGCTGCCAGTGGGAGTTGCTGGCTGTGTACTCGTGTAGCAGGGCCAGCAGGAGAGGCACCCAACCGGACTGGCTCTGCAGGGACTCCTGGGCTAAGGAACCACAGACGATGGAGAAAACGTAAGTTGAGCTGAGGTTTTGGTCCTTCCCTCTGAGAACAAGTCTTCCAAGAACCAAAGCGTGATCCTATAAGCCTCCTTGCCTTGTCTTCAGCCTGGGGGTGGGGAGTTCTGCTTTTACTCCGTAAGACCTCTCCAGGTTTGGGTTTGTCCCGAGCTGAAGCAGAACCAGAAGCTGCTTGCTCTGGAGCTACGGCTGAGCCAGAACCCCCCCCCCCACCTCGCCCTCCTCACCCCGCGGCTTGGGGTGCCCTCAGCGAGAAAGAAACCGTTCTTTTTCCTATCAGCGTCTGTCCTGGGCCTCAAGGGAAGCGCCATGGTAGGGCTGGTTGTCATATAAAGATCAGAGATAGGGCAGTAACGGGCTTTTCCCCCGGCCTGGCCTGGCTCCAGGCTCCCTGAGGGAAGCGATGGGGTACTCGCCCCGTGGCTCCCGGCCCTGCACCTCCCTGCTCCAGCATCCTCTGCAAAGCAGGAACCTTCCCTGGGCTTTAACCCAGACCCATTTTTTTTCTTTTTCCCTTTAA